TGAGCTGTAGCCCTATCACTTATAGACTTATGAGCTGTAGTCATATCAGTTATAGCCCTATCAGTTATAGACTTATGAGCTGTAGTCCTATCACTTATAGCCCTATCACTTATAGACTTATGAGCTGTAGCCCTATTACTTATAGACTTATGAGCTGTAGTCCTATGATTAAGTCCCATAGTCCATCCTTGCGAAAGTCATTAATGTTCAAGTTAAAACAAAAGTCAGTGCTGGATACTACAATGCATAATTATCAGTGCGTACATGCACTGTTTCATAAACTGCCACTAGCTGTCAAAATGAGTGAAATCTGATTCAGTGCTGCCAGCTGCCTATTTTATCGATAAAATGCTCAAAGCCTTTATTATAAAGAATTACTCATACATTATGCAGTAGACACTATCAAGACTGAGGTTGTCTCATAGCCCAACTGATTGAGTAAGCGAAGGATGGTGAAACTAGTCAGGTGCAATTGGAGAGCAAACGAAATTCTCCCATAGAGCTAGCTTGAGCACAGAACAAGCTCAATTGGCTTTTTACAAAAAAAATTCTGAAGTGACTCTTGGACAAGTGGTGATCGATTTTTCCGACAACAAGCATTTCCTTATTGCCAGTCCAACAACTTTACCTCAAACAGTTCCATTATTCATCAATACATGGATCATTATTTTCATCAATGTATATCATATCCTTGCTATGGACGAAAGGGTCATCAATCACTAGTGTAAAATTGCAGTGGTATAATCGTCTGAAACATCCGCCAGGTGCATCATCGGCTCTACAACTCAGTCACTAAAGTCCATCGGGCTGGAAAACGGGAGGACTAAAAACGGTCGCTGGTACTATGATTATATTAATTACAATATCGCAAGCCATTTTATCTGCTCCGGGAAAACTTTTAGAATGAAAAACATAGGAAGTATTCAATTTGCTCGATCTTCCTATGTTTACCACCGACTAATTTAAAGAAATACACTCGCTTTTATGGCCGTTCAAATAACTGGGTTGTAAAAAACGGTGCTGTGAACCTTCAATCCAATGAAGTGCAATGCGATACGCAAATGAAGTGTGCTTTAGTATCAGGTGCTATAGTAGTCTATGGTATAATGCATCAACGCTCGGGTTTAACGAATTATCAAATGCTCTGTCGTATAAATTACAACGCACAGGTAATCGGCAATTAAAATTTAGTTCCGTGAGTTCACCTTCCCAAGAAAGATCACTTCGAGAGCTCAGGCACAATTCTCAGTTCTAAGAAGCACCCCAAGTGCACTTATATTTTGCAATTATGTTGTATTGATGGGTTAAGTGGCGTCTGAAGCATTTAGAGTGTACACAACGTCCGAAATTTATTGAATGCCAGGAATTATTCCTGGGGCTCTGGAAAAGACCAAAAGTCTCGTATCATACTATCTCAGGGTATATATATATATATATATATTGTTAGGGACTTCACGGGACATAGGCGTTATGTATTACTATTTGATCACTGGTTTCTCTAGAACTCTACAGGAGTTCTATTCCACCTTTATATACTTTACCCAGAGGTCACGTGGACGGAACCTTTAGAACTCGAAAGAATATTCTATGAGTTGTCTAGAATGATATCTGACGGAACTCACAGTAATGGAAGTGCATATAGCCATATATGCGCTTACAAGGACCATCAGTGTCAAGCTGATACCAGGGACCTTACATATATATATATGCGATCATTACAATATCAAGAAGGCCAGATACCGCCACCCGAAGGCTCTGGAAGTAACGACGTCATACTAGTTTCAGTATGGGCCCAGAATCCCAAGCCCATGGCGCCTAATATACGAAACAAACACCAATACATGAAAATCTGCAGAATCGGTTCTATCAAATAGCTGATGAATGCCTCTTGGTTCCTGTGATTACTGATAAAGTTGATCCCCTTCTGCCATCTCCGAAAACCAGGTGTTTCAGAGATAATCATCCACCAAAGCTCATTCCACCGAGCATGTCTGGAAACGCTCACAACTAATGAAAGTCCCACTCGAAACAGCTCAGGGTACACTAAGAATTTTACAAGAGACTAGTCGGTCTTTATGGGCGCACATAGAAGCTCCGGCAATCAAGCCGTAAACGTTTCGTTCATTAACCTATTTCTTCACTGCGGAACACGCCGGGGATCGAGACTCATGTCCCTTTCTCCTCGGCTTGGCCACAGTCCGCCAACTACATTTCGCCATTGAGCTCCAGCCAGAGCCATTTCCGCCAGAGCTCCCCGGCCTCGTAGATGACGCTATCCATGTAATCGTACAGCAAGCCGTAGTTGCTCTGCGACGCGCCGCGCTCCTTGTCCCTCTGTTCCTGGTACTGCTTGTACTTGTCACTGAGCTTGTACGACTTCGCGGGCAAACGCGAGAGAAAAGTCCGGATCTCGTGCTGGTCAAGCTCCACCAACGTGTTCTCCTTCGCCTTCAAGATTGAGAGCGACACAAACAAAAGCTCGATGTGCGGATCCACCTTGCAGAACGGGATGGTGCTTTTTATGCGGTCAAGAGCCGGGGGCAAAATACACGTCAGATCCGTGTCTGCCAGCAGCGGTGCCCGCAGGCTATTCCTTTCCGTGTCTATGTGTAGGTCGCTGATCAAGTCCTTGATCGAATCGTCCTTCATCATATCCGCCAGCAGGTCGTCCTCATAGTCCACAGACCAGAACACGTCGGGCCCCAACTTGTCGAGAACCGCGTCCGGAATTGCCAACTTGTCCGCGTAGTAGTTCTGGTCGAGCTCTGCCTTTTTGCTCTGTGGCCGCCATCCAATGATGAGGTCCCACACGCGGCCACGGTCGACACGCGACCACACCTTCAGCCCGCAGTACTTGAGCCACCAGAGAACCCATTCATCATCGTGCAGGCCAAACTTGTTGAGGATCTCCTCCTCCTGGAAGTACTGCGAGAGCTCCGGGAGCATCCGTTGGAACACGTAAATAAAGAACGACACGCGCTCCTCGATGGTGCCCCCACTTACGGGCAACGTAGACTTGTCGATCTTCAATAGCTGCTCACCCTTCAGGCGCTTGTTGGCGGCCTCAGGCGAGTGCAAGAGAACTAATGCAAGCCGCTCGTATGCCTCGTGGAACTTCATGGGCGTGGCAGTCTCGTCGCGCACCATCTCGTCAAGCTTGCCGCGCAAGTCTGCGTGACCACTGATGTACTCCTCATAGTCATCAAAGACAGAGCCGATGCACGTGTGCTGATCCAGCGAAACGTCGCGTCCAAGCAACACCCAGGGCGTGTGCGGGATCGGCGGAAACCACTCAGCCAAGCCCAAGGCAATCCACGTAAGCGCCAGGTCGTACTTGATGATCTTGCCCCACTTCAATGCGAATTTAAACACGGCGTTCTCGAGAATGTCGAAAAGACACAGCTCGGTTTGCGAGAGCGGCTCCTCCGCGGACAGGAATGCAATGCGGTGCATGTACCGGCGCAAATCCTTGCGGATCTTATGCTGAAGATGCGTCTCGAACTCCCCCAGGTCGCTGTCGGAAGACGACTTCTCCTTGTCGAAGGAGTCAGGCTGGATGAACGGCGCCGCCACAAACGGGTGGTGTTTCAACAACACAGGCCACACTTTGAAGCGAAGAAATGGTGGCACGCCTTTTTGCCGCGCCATGAGTGCAAGGCCGTGGTGGTTTTTCGCTGCAATATACTGGAGCAATTGCACAAAGACTTCGTGGTCGTAGTTGAAAGTGGCCGCTGCCGCTGCCGGTTTGGACGTGTGCCCGCTGGCAGCGGACGGAGAGCTGCAGCTCAGCAACTCGGGGGTATTCAGCGACATTTTCTAGGCTTCTTGTTGGGCTCGACTTCGATGGTTTTGGATCGTGCTAGACAAGAAAGAGCGGGTGGTGAGGCGCGGCTCAATTCATGGTCGCTTCTTCTCGGGCTGGGGGAAATGTCGAAATACAGGTGGAGCTGAAGGCGTGAGCTGGGTGCCGTTCGAACGAACGAAGAAAAACCGAGATTTTCGGGGCGAAAGTGGAGGGGCCTGGGGAAGAAAATGGGGGGGTGCCGATGGATGTTCTCAGGGCCGGCCGCGAGGCACGGGTGCTCGCCAGAAAAAAAACGCAGGATGATCGGCCGAACAAAAATGTCAAGCCAGAAGCACTTCAAAAGTTCCGTTTTGTTTCTTCTTTTTTTGTATGCTCTCTGAATCCCAACCCTTTGAATAGGCGTTTTTGAAAAAACATGTGGCAGTTTAAGGGGTATTTTTCGTGGGCAAGGTCGCAGGTCAGACGGTTTTTGGCGAGTTTCTCAGCATGACACGGCGGGCCAATTGCGGCAGAACAATAAGTCTGGGTCCAATTTTTGGACTGTTTTTTTATTGTTTGTTTGGCCAATTCGCCTGGAAATCTGCCCTGCGTCTCGCGACCGCTTGTCGTTCGCAGTAAACCGCCTCGTGAGCCA